ACCCTAGGGTTTAGCAAGTCGCCTGCCTAACTCTCGTCAGGACTCACTCACGTTTAACTCGAGAAAAGAACTTACAACCACAGCAAAGAAATAAAACAACGATTCCAAACTTAACATATACATTGGTGCTCAAATCCAACTATAAGGCTTATACACGCCTAAATATATCAAGGTGTTTACAATCCAGGTGCAACCAACCCTAGTTGAGCACTAGCGCGAGTACAATTGTAAAATCCAAAACAAAACTAGACTACGCTAGCCTGTACAAGTCTCACGCCTCGCTCATATCCCCTGTAAGGAAAACAAAACTAAAGGAATGAGCTAAAAGCCCAGTGAGGTTCCATACACATCATCGAGCAATTAAATCCAGGACATTAAACATGTAATAGCAAATAATCCAGAAAACATTTAACATATAAAAGCAATGATAACACACTCATTAAAAGGATACACGCTCATGTGGAGCCATTCGTTCATTCATTCGCCAACTATTTTCCTTATTCCTCCAACATTAGAAAGCATTTACAAGTGAAAACTCCTCCAATGTTCTTGACATTCATTCATTGATTTCATTTCTCACTACTAGCCAATTCATTGGCCAATCTCCACCATTCTTCGTGGTCATATTCGAGTATACCAAACATTATCCCAACGTCACCAATCGCCCGACCGAGTCCGCTTCTGGCTCTAGTCGACTGGCAACAAAGGGTAAGGACACAATTCAGCCAAAAGACTTATATTCATGCACAAGTAGTATTTAATCATTTAATCATTGAAAATTTCACGTTTATTTAAGTCGAGTGCGATAAAGTATATACTCGCCTAGCAAAAATTCATTTTAGCAATCATTGAAAACATTTAACATTTAATCAAACATTCACAATAATTCACATAGTCATTTGAAGCATAACCTGCAAAGAACACTCACCAGTTTAAGTAAAATAACATCAAAAGTTTCCTTCCAGATTATGCCCTTGATAAACGACAAACCGTAAGAATAACCAATCCCAAATTGAAGTGAGCAAAGGTAATTCAAAATTTTCGAGAGAAAATTAACACTTTTCATCTTAGTTGATACCAAATCTTGGTCAAAACAACTCATATACTGATAGTGAAATGCATTCAAGGATACATATGTAACTTAAGATCCAACTAACCCTAAACTCAAACCTTACATCTCACTAATATTCATAAAAGCATGTAATAGAAATTTGGGCAGCATGCCCTTTGTATTTCGCTATTTTTTAGCCATTTATGGCTTCATTATTTTCCTCAACTCAGTCCAAATTCACACATAAGCAATCTTAACACAATAGCCCTTCAACTAGGCTCAATGTCATACAATTACAAGACAAGTCCAGCAATGCGACCGAAAACTAATTTTAAAGGCAAATAGCTAAATAGCAGATTTGATGTCTTATAGCATTTTGGTCACAACTGAAGCTACACTTATCAGATTGGGGTACACTTTATGCTATTTCGAAGCTAAGACATAGACCTACAAGTCTTATGAAGATATCAATAGCCAATTCATTCATTTTCAAGGTCAAAATGTGCAATCTCAGAGAAAATAGAACACTGCCTGCACAATAGGGCATTTGGCAGTCAGGGGTAATTTTGTCATTTTACATGCTACAGTACTCTGATTGAGCTAAAATTTTACAGGCAGTTATATAACTCTATTCTCTACAACTTTCATGTTTTGACCTAGACCTGATTCAGCCTCTATCATACTCGAATATACAGGTCAGACACAGGATAGATTGGCCTACAATTTCTGGAATTTGATGATTCAATACTTGAAAATCACATTTATGTCTTGAATCACTACCCCAAGTCCCTATCCAAGCTCATCAACATCATATACTAGATAAAAAAACAAGAATCACAACTGAAAATATCAAACCCTAGCTAAAAATTCCACCATATCATGCAAAACTCACTAATTAACCATCATAAACCAAGATTAAGAGCTTCTATCCAAACTTTAGCAAGATTAAGAAGAGAAAAAGGAAAGGCAGCCATGATACTTTCCAATATTGCTTGTAAGTGCAAACCACACCCCTTTCTTTCCAAACTTTCAGAACCCCAAGTCTTCCAAGCACTAAAAGGAAAGGTTAATCGGTTTGGCTTGGTTGTTTTCTCTCAAACTAAGATGATTCAAGGTGGAAATTGGAGTTTTCTCACTTGGTATTTTCTCTCTTCAAGCTCAGCCAAAATGTTCAGAAATGAAGAGGAAATGAAGTGAATTTGGTGATAAAATTGAAGGAAATTGGTTGGTCAAACAACCCCTGGATGGTTGCCACTTGTTACTACAAGATTAAGTCTTTAATTTTTCTTCTTTTTCCTTTCTTTTTGGTCAACATTTTCGGCCCTCTCTAGGATAATTAAGGGCTGATATTTCTGAAATAATAACAAGGATATTAAGATAATAAAGTGGTGTTCAAGTGGTGCACTCATTCGGTAGCAAATGGTACACGTCGGTTCAAGCCGATTTTCCTTATCTCGCTCGTGCTAGTGTTTTAACTTATGATTCACTAATTTATTATTAGCAGTTCTAATCACATACTTTCTCTTATCTAAAACTCACTCTTAACTACCAAATTTAATACACACACCTCACCAATTACTCACACCACCAAAATACACAAAAATCCTAATTTACACTAACTAAGAAACTAATATGAAACTCTTGATTCTATGATTTATTGCAACTATGGAGGATGTAAATGAGTAGTAAATATATTATAAAGTAATTTATTTAAAATAAAATGAAATTTTAAGAAAATAAGAAGAATTTCGCGAGTCCTCACAAAAAGGACCCCAATACTTGGTCTAGGGCTCATTTCAAGACTGGATTGGATTGCGATATATTGGTTAATAATATATGTGAATCTTTTAATTCAGTTATTTTAAAGACAGGATCACTGCCTATCATAGGCATGTTGCAAACTATTTACTTATATTTGTTGAAGGGAATGGAGAAGAATAAAGAGACAATGTCCTAGCATGAAGGTTAAGCTACTTGCTTACTGTTTTTTATCATCATTTTTAAAGTTACACCATGTTCAATATCTAATTTGCCCTTTTATTTGTTAGATCTCTTATGCCCAACAATTTTTGACATTCTTGAGAAGGCCAAGAAAGAGCAATGCATGTGCATCTGCTATTTGCATGTCCTTTTTGTGACCAGTTTATCGTTGATTTGGGGAGCAAGACCTGCACTTGTAGAAAATGGCAACTGAGGCAAATCCCATGTGGCCATGCAATTGCTGCTATGAATAGGAGACGTGACAAACCAGAAAAAAATGTGGCACTCATCTACTGGAAGAGTACATACATGAAGAGTTATGAACCTATGTTGAATCCAATCAATGGTCCTAATTTGTGGGCCCCAATAGATTTACCACCAATGAAGCCTCCAAAATATGAGAAATCACCTGGAAGGCCAAAAAAGGTGAGGAAAAAGGGACCAGATGAAGATAGGAACAGACAGTCGTGTGAATCCATCTAAACCTCACAAAGTTAGTAAGGTTGGCACTAAGATAAGCTGTAGTCTGTGCAAGAAATACGGCCATAATAGGAGGAGCTGCCCTGAAAAAAATCAGCAAACTGTTCCAGTAGAAAAGGGAGGAGATAGGCATATGGATAAGGAATCTAGTGGGACCCGCACACAACAAACAGATGCCATCAGAAATGAAACAAGGCATACTAGTACTGGTCCAAGTACTGCTAATGTCACTCAATTAAGTACACAAGAGAGCTGCACAGTTGCTCCTCAAAGTTAGACTGAACAGAAAATTGGTAAAGAACAACTAGTCAAGGGCACAAGAAAATGCTCATTTTGCAGGAAACCTGGCCATTCAAAGAAAGGTTGCAAGCTGAGGCAATGGACCTTTAGAAATTCACTGGACATGACTGGAGAACTTGGACTCAATAGAGCTGCAACTGATTCTCTGATTAACCCATATGAGACAGCTTCAAAGAGAACTGAATCTGGACATGTAAGTGCTTTGAAATTTGAATTTGTTGCTGTGTGAAATGGGAATATGTTCACTCTCCTATTAACTACTTCTTATCTCCTGACATGTAGTTGAACTCCAATACTGGTGACAAATTTTATTCACACAGTCCAGGGATGACAATGAAACCACCAGACTCATACATTGATGATAGGCAGACAGAAGAGTTGGGTTCAACTAGCCGTGTCACCGGACGACTTCAACCAACCCCCTTCACTTGGAGGGGGAACATGTGTGTAAATCTATCTACATTGCAGGTAGCAGCAGGTCAAGTGAATCATTCAACTAGCATTGGCAATGTGCAGCTCCATGGGAATGCAAATGAAGCTGCAAAGTCAGGAAATTTAAATCAACCTCCAAAATAGTTGTGTTTTGTAAATGGCAATGTGCAACTCTATGTTTAGCTGGGTTTTGTGAATTTCTGTTGCTATAAATTGTTCACATTATTTTTAGGGAGTTGATGTTTTGTAAATGGCAAATGATGTTGTAAATGCCAAGAAATTCCAGCTGTTGTTTTGTATATTTGTGAAACTTCTGGTCTTTTGGTGTAAGGCCAAACATGCCTTCTTCTTAATGATCAAATTCAGTCCATTTTCAATTTCATCTACTGTGTCAAACAGTTGATGGTGTTACAAATGTTTACAGGTATAATGTTTACTGCCAAAAGTAGTTCAATAAGTTGGGACACTTTAATCCCTCAACTATACAAAAACAGATGGTTCAACCCCAATACTTCATTAGATAGGGACACTTAGGTCCCTAAAGTTTAAACAAAAGAGCATGTCAGCCCCTACTGCTTCTTCAAGAATAGCTACATTACACCAGAAACCGCAGCTTATACAGAGAGACAAAATTACATTTTTTCCATCCCAATTACATAGCACCATTGTGCCTTGCATTGCATGTTTCATTCTACTACACCGTTGCCTCATTTTCCACATAGATGGACATTTTCTTGTCAAACTCCAATGGTGACCTTTATGGCCCAGAGTTGAACAAAAGGATCCATGCAACAGCAACAACCCAGTGAAGAAACAAGAACATCTTCAGCCTTCTTAGTTTTGCTTCCTGCAGCTTTGAGTTCTCTTGCAACCTCTCAATCTCAAACTCCAATTTGTTTTTGGTTCTTATCAGTCCAGGGATTATATCCTTCGACCTTTGACACATCTCAGGATCACCTAATCCCAATACCTGCATCCCCCGATTCCTGCATTAACAACACCATTGAGAGAGTAAATACAAGTTTACTTAAGTGCATTGCATACAAATCAAAATCATATGGGAAGAAGTGCAAACCGATATAATGGAAATGGAATCACCCTGTAATTTGGACATCGACAAAACCTTCTTTTTGGGTTTAAATCTGTCCATGATATCATCATCAATACTTGTTTTCCACAGTTGCATGTGTCCCTAACCATCTCTCATTTGTCTTCTTTCAGATCTTCAGATTTCTGAAAGCTCTCGACCTTTTAATTCTTACCCCTCATTTCGATATTCAGCCAATTTCTTTCTTTTTTATTAGGGCACATCTCTACCGTAACTTATGAATTGGATTGAGTCAATTATATGACCCAATTGTGCTTGATAAAAGGAGGGAAAGTTTCCCTTCCCTCCTTTGTGCTAAAAAAATTTATTTATTTTTATCTTTTCTCTGAATTTCCATCCCTACCCTTGGTCAGTGGCGCTTGTTTTGCACGCTCGAAAAACTTTGATGATTCTGTGGAGTCTGTTAATGATTTTACTTAATTGGGATGGATTCAGTAGTTTGGGGACTTAAGTGTCCCATTTAGAAGTTTAGGGATTGAAGTGGGAAACAGGGTATAGTTTAAGGGGTCAAAAGGGAATTTACCCATTTTTAAAACCTGAACAATTAGGATGTGTTTGATAAAAACTGAAATCTGAAATTTGAAACTTGAATTCATTAAGTTATTGAATTGTTAAATAATAAATATAATACATTTGTGTGTATATCACATTCAGTAATAAGTGAATAGTTTATCACTTAATTTTGGGAGCAAATTTTGCTTAGAAAATTTAGTGTCACCTAATTAATTCAGATGTTCAATTTTTCGTTATCAAATGTGTCTGAACATGTTAAGATTTGAATCCATTAACTTTAAGTGCTGAATAAGAGCATCACACTGGGCGTTCATTGCAAGGTTTCCTCCCAAATCTCGCAATTAAACTTTTGATGAATCATTCACTCTGTTTGGATTGGCCATTTTTTCAAAAACAAGTTTTTCAAATATAATATGACAGTAATACACAATAATTCAAAAAACATCTCATCCATACAACATATCAAATATTTCAAAAAATTTTTATAATAAAATTTTTTTATATACACTATTACAGTAAAATTTTTCAAAAACACCTCAAAAAATAACTAATCCAAATGGAGCCAATTATTATTGTTACTGACGGATCATTTGGACTAGAAAAGCATGATTTTCATGAGGATCTAAATAATATAGGGAAAAAGTCCTTGTAGTCCTCGAACTTTTAACCATATAAAGTTTTAACCCTTCAACAATTATGAGGAAAATTTTGGCCCTCGATCTATCAATAGTGTAATTTGCTGGTCCTTCTATGGATTCTAACCGTTATGAGTAACGAAAACGAGGGCATTCTTGTTCATGCAAAATATTAATCATATAAAAGGTAGTAAACTCAAACTCCTACTAAAAAATAAAACCATTTTCTCTAACGAAATATGCAAAATCAAGCTTCTACTCAACTTTAACAAAGCCACCCAAATGCAACAAATCCCAAAAAGCCCATGATGAGAACATGAAGATCGGGATCCCCTTCAATTCCACAAAAATTCATTTTACAAGTCTTTACATTCTAATGATGGTCGATGATGTAATCGAGTTCAAGAATCATTGAAGATCCGAACTGTGTCATGCTTATTTTTTGTTATTTATTTAATTAAGTTTTCAGTAATAATTGTTAGTTAATTAGAGTTAGTCTTAAGTTATTTTTGAGTTCTTAATAAAGAGAATAAAAGCCAAGGTCATGTTGACCATAGTTAAGCCAATTTGAGTTAGTTAATTTGCTACTCTAGTTGAATTAGAGTTTTAGGAAAGTAGTTAATTGCTTCCAAATTTGTTTAGGAAGTTATGTCAAGTTTAGAAGCCAAGTCAAATAAGGAAACTTGTATTGTTTCCAACTTAAATTAGGTTTTTGAGTCTTGTAAGGTTATAAATAGCCAAACTTATGATATTTTCAGAAGTTAGACAATTATAAGATGAATAAAAATTGAGACTTTTTCTCTTTCTTGTTCCTTTAGGAACGTCCCTTGATACAAAGTGAGTCATGTCTCCTTTGTTCAAGTTTGGCTTATCAATTCAAGACCACGTTGAACTGTGGCACCATTCTACCAATACATCTAGTTCGCTATCTTGTTAAGTTGTGGGTTAAGATTAAGTTCGAGGTTCGCAATTTCACGGGTTAGAAGAGTCGAGGTTTTTCCATCAACTTTGTTTTATAACCTGATCAAGAATGATCCTTCCACTGCCTGTGCAATTCGTTTCTTCGAGAGCGGGAGTTTAGAGAATCAAGTTCGCATCAATCCATTTTAATGACAAAATTAAAAAATTAAGAAATTCCAGAAATCTTAGATTTTTACAGTCTAAAAGTCACTTTGTAACATTGATTTGTATAGAACTTATAAAACCAACAAATGGATATTTTGAATCTTACAAATGCAAATAAAATCAACATATTTACAACCATTAATTTTATACCATATGGAACTCTTTAGGGGGTGACCTCCTGGAAGGTAAAAGCAGTAAGCATTGTGGCTTCAAAGCAAAAGAAGAACAATAGCTAATGGGTCCGATGACATCCACATTGGGTTTCCCAAATCCAATGGTTCTTTGATCTTCTTTCCATTGTTTTGATTGGAATCCTTCACTTTCTCTAGAAATCCATTCTTTTCTTCATCTTTTTCCTTTTCTCAAGAAACCCATTCTTGATAGAAACATGATACAGAAGATGAGAAAGCAGAAAAGCAAGGCATAGATCCATCGCCACCTTCTCCTCTCTCCATTGCTGAATATTTGTCTGATTACTATCTTTCTCTCTCACTCAATTTCACATGGAGAAAAGCGCACAGAGGAGGAGGTAAATAAGGTTTGGTTTCAAATCCACTGAATTATGTGAAAACATTGAAAAGGGAATGGAAAAAATGAGATTTTTGGGGGTGTTTTTTCCCCTGCTGTTAAGTGTATATTTGTGAGTTAATGTCTATTTTGGCTAAGGTGTTCATTGGAATTTTTTATTTTATTTTCTTTGGATATTCGATTAATATTCATGCACGGACAAAAATGTCCTCGTTTTCATCACACATAGAATGGCTGGAATTCACAGAAGGGCCAGCAATTTACACTATTGATAGATCGGGGGCCAAAAGTTTCCTCCTAATTGTTGAAAGTTGCCATTGGGACTTTTTTCCCAATAATCTATGGTCATCACATCTTTACTTTTTTCACTATAAGCTCCTATATTTTTATCCATCAACTTCATTTTGTCCAAAATTATGAAAAAATTTGAGTGATAAGTACAGTACTATGAACTTATGAGTTTATATATACATACATATGTATATACATCTCATGATTAATTGCTTAGACTTCAGTTAAATATTTTTTGTCATAATGGTATCTAATTTTTTGATTCAACAAGCAAAATGCATGCCACGTAAAATAAAATTCAAATTTAGACAATATATGTGCAGCAACCTTTCAAAGTCAAGTTGAGTAGAAAATTTTGTACATTGTCAGTATGGCAATATTAGTCCATGAGTAAATATAGATTGAGTGTCAAAATAAGTTTTTTTGCTAATAATGCTTTCTCCATTCTTTAAGATTAAGATTCCTACGAAAAGCAGGAAAAGGAAAAGTAAGTCTACATTCTTATGTAAGATATTTAAATTAATGGTGAAAAAGGAAAACAAATTTCTTTTGGAATAATATTTTTTATATGATTTGTTAACTCACTTGAAGTTGGAAGAAATTGGAAGAAATTGCAAGTAGATTAGGTAAAATGTGAGAATAGAAAGAAAATGTATCATATCTCAATGACTGACAGGTGCCGAACCTGTGCAATAATAATAATAAAACCTAATTACCACCAAAAGCAGTCAATAATCAATTCTAGGTACGGGAGCAGGGACTCTAGATGTGCAATAGATTTGGGTTATTTGATTCATCCTATTTCCAAAAAATTTGCTTAATCCGATATATCGGAATTAATTGACTGACAAAATTTACTAACTAGTAGACAATGGCAAGTAGGGTCGTCTCCTCAGGGACCGGGGAATAGTTCGTTTCCTTTCGAGTCAAGACAAACGGGGGGATTTATAATTAAATGCTAATGAATTGCTAACTAAATAAATTAAATGCGAAAAAAATAATTAATTGAAAGAAATAATTGGGAAAAACTCTAGCCAAGAATACACTTCAGAAATGGTTCATGCAACTGATCATTGATTTAAATATAATTCCAACATTCATTAATAGGTTGGTTGTAGCTGTCATACACGCAATAAACAACCAATTTTTCCTTACTTTTTCAATAGTCAAGGTATGACCGTTAACTATTTCTCTAACCAATGAATAACTTTAGGTACGACCGTAGGATTTAATTTCTAGATTACATTAAGAATTAGAAAAATTCAACCCTAACTAACAAACAAACTACGAAGGTTTGTTCAAATTAGATCGTACGTTTTCCTGAAATAAACCCAATTATGTCAGTTACTATCGGAACGGAAGTAATCGAACAATTATGGATTCAACTATCTTCAATTAGCAAATAGCTTACGTGAATAATTAAATATTGCACGCCTATTCAATTATACACGATAGCTTTAACAACAATTAAAAATAGAAAACATGCAAATACCAATAAATGAAGGAAATAGTTAAAATAATTTAGATCTCACAGTTGTTGTTGAACCAAATCTTCAGTTGTCCCCTTGAGTAGAAATATAAAGTTAGTTCTCCATTAATAGAGAACAATCCGTGCAAGGCAATAGAGAAAAATCGCAAACTCTTGTCTCCCCAAATTCGGTCAATAGAGAAAGAAAAGAACAAGGAAAATCATTGCTTTCTATTGTCTCTTTTTTTTATATATATATAAAAAGGGCTACTTGTTTTATTGATAAAAATAAAGAGAAAACCACAGAAGGGGAAACCTTAAGAAAAGTCCCGAGCGATTATGTTTACATTTAGTGCGTAAGACGAAAATATGGGTATTGATGTGTATCCAAAGCTGTGATTCCCTTCACTCGCTGGGGTAGGCTGGCGGCATCATAGCTCTCCGACTGTCGTGTAGTTGCCGCCTGCTTTACTAGGACATCTGCGGCCGAGTTCGTCTCCTTGTAGCTGTGCTCCAGTATAACTTCTGCCTG